GAGCGTTCAGCAAAAGCGACTTTTTTACTTTTGTACTCTAAGCAAGGTATTATACTTTAAATTTTCCTAAAGACGAGAAGATACCAAACGGAAGCTTATTTCAAACCCTACTACTACAATTATATCTACAAAGATCTAAGGTTTGTAAATTCAAAAGTCAAACTTTCAAGGCAAAGTTATTTTACTGTTTCTGATGAGGTAAAAACGATGGAAAGAGGTAAATGGTGAGATTTGGAAAGGGGAACAATGACGTACTGAAAAATCATCAAATCTTTTTCTCAACATTTTCCATCATTCAGCTTTTTCTCACTTGCAACTACGTAAATTTTATTGAATAAAGTAATCGAATCTTCTAGAAAATCTTTTATCATCATCCAAAGCCTAGAATTTTCCATATCTAACACGGAAAAATATCCATGTTTTGGGTACTTTCCCCCTTTGCTTACTTTAAGTAATCTATTGGATCGTTATATTTTTGATCAAAATCGTAATGGGTTCCATAAATCCTATTGTTTAGACTTGCTTAACAAGGGCTGATCAAAAAATCGGATAGCACAACTCCAGGCGCTTCATCTTTTACTCTTTGCTATTCCGCTTTCATTTTTGAGGAATTAAAGTAATTTACAACATTTGATTGATTAAAACACGACTTACAAAAAGCCAAACTAAGCCAAAGTCAAGAAAAACTCTTGATCAGAATATCTAAACTTTAAAATATACATTTAATTAACTTCATCCAGCCCTCCAGTCATCGGTTCAAATGAGCTTTTTTAAAGATTATTACTAAGAAAAAAGAAACATTAGTTACTCGAAAAAGGCAATTAAGAAAGGCATATAAAACGGCTAATTTTGATGGAACAACCGTAGACTTAGCTTAACGAGAATTAGCAAGACAAATCGGTCACGCAACTCCAGGCGCTTCATCTAGCCCCCAGACTATCGGATTCAAATGTGCTTTTTTTGAGTTAAAAGCCAAGATTTTAAGCTATCTAATGATACCCCTCATTTAGATTTTTCTTTTGAAAAAGTCAATTAAAAACCTTATCGAGTTTTGACGAGACAATTTCTCGTTATCTTGCTAATTTTTGATAAGGTTTTTTTGAGCTATTTTTTCAAAAGAAAAATCTAAATGATGGGTATCATTAGATCGCTTAAAATCTTGGCTTTTAACTCAAAAAAGCTCATTTGAATCGGATAGACTGGAGGCTAGATGAAGCGCCTGGAGTTGCGTGACCGATTTGTCTTGCTAATTCTCGTTAAACAAGTCTACTGTTGTTCCATCAAAATTAGCCGTTTTATATGCCTTTCTCGAGTAACTAATGTTCTTTCTTCTTAGTACTAATCTTTAAAAAAAGCTCATTTGAATCCGATAGACTGGAGGCTGAATCAAGCTAATTATATGTATATTTTAAAGTTTAGATATTCTGCTAGAGTTCTTCTTGGCTTTGGCCTAGTTTGGCTTGTTGTAAGTCGTGTTTTAATCAACCAAATGTTGTAAATTACCTTTAAGTACTTTAAAAAAAGTAAGCGAGTAAGAGTAAAAGAGTAAAAGATGAAGCGCCTGGAGTTGTGCTATCCGATTTTTTGATCAGCCCTTGTTAAGCAAGTCTAAACAATAGGATTTATGAAATTTTACGATTTTGATCAAAAATAACGATCAATAGGATTACTTAAAGTAAGCAAAGAGGCAAAATTATCCAAAAAACATGGATATTTTCATGTTTGATATGGAAAGCGCCTGGAGTTGCGTGACCGATTTGTCTCGGTAATTCTCGTTAAGCAAGTCTACTGTTGTTCCATCAAAATTAGCCGTTTTATGTGCTTTTCTTGATTGCCTTTCTCGAGTTCTTTCTTCTTATTAATAATCAAAAGCTTAAGTTTCAAATTCTTATTTAAAACTTTGTAATTAAACTTTTTCTAAACAAAAATCGAATCTTTAACTGATTTATTGGGATATTTTGAAGTTTAAATGCTTATCAAGTTTCATTTTCTCAATTTAACGCGAAAAATATTAATTATATTATGTTATATGTGTAAAATTGTCATCTTTTATCATCTGTTTAACATTTTGATTTCAATTTTCTTTATTCAAACAATTAAACGCACAAAAAATCTCCGTATTTTGATCACAAAAAAAAAACGAAAAAAAAAACACAAATCACACGATCTTTACACAATAAAAAGTCAAAAATCATTCATAAATCATAAATTAAAAATCAAAGCTTTAAAAGAATTACTTAACTTTTTAAAGTACTATAAAGGAGGGGTATTAATCGCGGCCGGGTGACGATAAAAATTTTTTCACGGCAACCACCTGTTTTTTTCATTTTAATATCGCTGATTTTATTATAAAAAGAATAAAAATCACCCGGCTAGAGTGATTTGATGGGTTTACAAATTTTTGGAGACACTGCAAGGCTTGGAGAAAAACAAGATCGTCACTCATCAGACACCTCAGCACAGTCTAGATCGATTGAGTTTTAATTGCAGATAAATTTAAAAGCAAAATAAAAAGCACAAAAAACAATAAAAATAAATTGTTAATCTATAATTCTTCCTTTTGCTCACTTTCATCTTCGCTCAAGTACAGCAGTTCCTCAAATCGGCTTCCTATCTTATCAATTTCCAGCGCATCTTCACCAGAAGTGACTGGATCTCCTCCACCGTAGGACGTCTTCAGCGCTTTGATTGACACAATTAGATCTTTTTTCCATTTGTGGTCGCTTGTGGTTTTAGTTTTCTCAAATAGGTGCCTTTTAGCTGAGGTGTCTGATGAGTGACGATCTTGTTTTTCTCCAAGCCTTGCAGTGTCTCCAAAAATTTGTAAACCCATCAAATCACTCTAGCCGGGTGTTTTTTATTCTTTTTATAGTAAAATCAGCGATATTAAAATAAAAAAACAGGTGGTTGCCGTAAAAAAATTTTTATCGTTACCCGGCCGCGATTAATACCCCCCATTTAAAGCTTTGGAATGGGTGGATCAAATCAGAAGAGAGCATCACAACATCAAACAACTTCTTTTTCAGTGCTTTGTTTAAGAACTAATGATGGCATTGGTATCATTTGTTTAACATTTTCATTTCAATTTTCTTTATTCAAACAATTAAACACAAAAAAAAATCTCCGTATTTTGATCACAAAAAAAACGAAAAACGAAAAAAAAACACGAATCACACGATCTTTACATAATAAAAAGTCAAAAATCATTCATAAATCATAAAAAAGTCAAAGCTTTAAAAGAATTACTTAACTTTTTTTAAAGTACCTTAAAGTAATTTACAACATTTGATTGATTAAAATACCACTTAAAACAAGCTAAACGAGGCTAAAGTCAAAGAAAAACTCTAGCAGAATATCTAAACTTTAAAGTATCCATATAATTAGCATTTAATGTTTCATAAGCCCGTATGAACATATGAATCGAATTGATGACCTTAAAAGCGAAGAAAATTAGAGAAATTTTAAAAATCATCAAATAATTTCTCTTCTTTCTCTTCCTCAATGTTTTCTTCCCTTTTTCCCTTTTTTCTTCTTCTCAAGAAGTCGTGTCTCTTCTTTCTCTTCTTTCTCTCCTTCATCTTCGAGATCTTTCTCACTCACAACTACGTGATCTTCTGTCGATGATGTGGGTGAATCTTCTCGTGAATTCTTCTTCTCATCATCTAAGGCGACAACCTGAAATTTCTGCATAACTTTTTGTTATTTTAATTTTTATAATGGCTTATAGTTAGATCTATTATAGATGCAAGTCTTCTGGTTCAGGCGTAGGCGTAGGCGCAGGCTCAGGCGCAGACTTAGGCTCAGGTTTAGACTCAGACTTAAGCTTAGGCCCAGGCTTAGACCCAGGCTTAGGCTCAGGCTCAGGCGCAGGCTTAGGTTCAGGCTTAGGCGCAGGCGCAGGTGCAGCTCAGGCTCAGGCTCAGACCCAGGCTTAGACCCAGGCTTAAGCTCAGGCTCTGGCTCAGGTCATCTAGGCAGATCTGGGTCCAGGTCTGCTTATCTAGGCTGCAACCCTGGCCTGACTTTTCTCAAGACCTCAAGACAAAAGTCACTGAACCCATCCAGACCTAGACTTGACTTTTGCTTTGGCCTTGAGAACAACTATTCTTATGCTAGCTACTAGGCTTCAGCAATACTAGTGTCAATTTCTATAACAAATCTACAGATCTAACAAATCTTTTAACAAAAGTTGTGTAAGAAGTAGTCTACTCACCCTTTTCTCATCCTCATCTTCAACTATTTCCACATCTGGATCATCTGATTGTGATGATTGTTCTTTCTCGATCATAACTGGTGATTCTCTTGATGGAGTCTTTACCAATTCCAACGATTTCACCGAGATATTTGACACGTCTTCGATTTCAATCGCTTTTTCATGATCTAAAGAATGATAAACTCGATAATTTTCTGGGATTTACCTATTCTTGGTGTAGCTGTTGTATCACCAGAGGCTAACGATTGAGTGCCATCATTTTCAATGATGATGATTGATGAGTCAAGAGCTTGTCGAATTGTTTCTTCCGGAAGTGGAGCATCCTGAAGTAAGTGGATTAAATCTAGATTTCTGGATCTAGAACAATGATCGACTTATCTCTACTTCTGAAAGGAAATGCATCCTTTCTGATGCACTGGAAAGGAAGATAAGATAAAATTCTTAATTCTAGCAACTTTTAATCAAATGTATCAAGGAAAATGGAAACTAGTGTGCTAGAAAGGATGCGTTTCCGTTTTTGAGAACAGAGTACGTCTAAATAAAATATTTATACACATTCACTCACTTCTTCAACGACTTTCTTCAACTCAACTCCAGTTTTTTTCAGTAAAAGGCTCGGCTCATCGAAAGCGATCATCTAAAGAATATTTTATTGCCCAATTTGAATGACTAACCCGTCCATCATCCATCAAAAGTACTCGATCACAGTCAGCAATGTTCTCTAACTTGTGAGCGATCAAGAGAACTGTACAATCGGCTAAGCAGTCACTGAAAGATATTATTTAAAGTTTTAATAAATCTAAATTGCACCGTAAGCATTGGTGAATCAATTTGTCCATGTTGGCGTCAAGCGAAGCCGTTGCCTCGTCGAGTACAACGATTCTGCACTTCCTGGAATTGAAAGGCTCGAAAATGTCATAATTTAGTGGATTTTGTCTATAGACTATTGTAAATTGTTTTAAAAAACTCACATGAGTAAGGCGCGTGCCATGCAAAGCAGCTGTCTCTCACCGACCGAGAAGTTCTCTCCACCGGAAATAACCTAAAATTCATTAATCATTAATCCAATTTTATTCATTTCTTGAATTGATGGTGACACTGAAGTCCTGACTGTTCCTGTTTTGTCTTAAAATTTAGCGCGGAGCTGATCCCAAGAATTCCGGCATAGTGACTCCGAAAATAGAAAAATCGGCTCACCGCTCCTTCCGTTTTACGAATTCGGAAAGGAGCGAAGGACTACTAGAGGAGCGTGAGCGATTACGAGACCGCACAAAGAACATCTCGTCAGTCATTTACAGAGATTTCTTTTGGCTTTATAGATAATATAAAAAGAAGCTATTGAGCTGTAAATTTGTGCCCGAGGGGTTACGCGGTCGGAGAATCGATTGACGCTATTCATTTCATCGAATCTCTATGTTTTTGCTGGTTAAACAAGCAATTAAACTGAAAGAACGATTTGATCTTCTTGTCTCTGCATTTCTTAGGTCGTAGGTCCAATTTGATTCTATTTTCTGCCATTTAAAAGCTAGAATTATCTTCTAAATAAAAGGTTAATACTTATATTCTTTCTAAACAATGATATGAAATCTTTAAAGTGTGATTACTCATTCAAAACAGTCAGCTATTTATTTTCAAAGATTAAAAAGGAGCTATTGAGCTGTAAATTTGTGCCCAAGGGGTTACGCGGTCGGAGAATCGATTGACGCTATTCATTTCATCAAATCTCTATGTTTTTGCTGGTTAAACAAGCAATTAAACTGAAAGAACGATGCTATCTGATTTGATCTTCTTGTCTCTTCCTGAGCCTAAGCCTAAGCCTAAGCCTAAGCCTAAGACAAAGTAAAAGTGAAACCTCAGATTCCAATCCCTTTTCAAGTCGTTGTACTTGTCGTTTCATATGAGTTTTCTCAAGAGAGATCCAAATTTGTTCATCAGTGAAGACTCCAGCTGGATCAAGGTTTGATCGAATTGAACCAGCGAAAAGGACTGGATCTTGTGGAATGATTGCCATAGATCTTCTGAAAAATGAGAAGCTTTGAAGAAATTTTGAGCAAAAAGATTTGTTGTTGAGTTTTACCTCAACGTGTGCAATCCAATTGTCGTAATGTCAACTCCATCAATGTAAATTTGACCCCAACTCACTGGATAAAGCCGATAAAGGACATTGGCAAGCGAAGATTTCCCTAAGAATCTATTTCATTGAAGTTAAAGTTTAAAAACCTGATCCAGTTCTTCCAATAATTCCAATCTTTTCCTTTGCTTTAATAGTGAAAGTGATTCCATTAAGTGACATTTCCATGTTTGGACGATAACGAAGTCTAAAGATAAAGAAGTCTAAAGATAAAGAAGTCTAAGATAAAGAAGGCTAAAGATAAAGAAGGCTAAGGATAAAGAAGGCTAAGGATAAAGAAGTCTAAAGATAAAGAGGTCTAAGATAAAGAAGTCTAAAGATAAAGAAGGCTAAAGATAAAGAAGGCTAAAGATAAAGAAGTCTAAAGATAAAGAGGTCTAAGATAAAGAAGTCTAAAGATAAAGAAGGCTAAGGATAAAGAAATCTAAAGACAAAGAAGGCTAAAGATAACGAAGTCTAAAGATAAAGAAGTCTAAGATAAAGAAGTCTAAGGTAAAGAAGTCTAAAGATAAAGAAGTCTAAAGATAACGAAGTCTAAAGTTAAAGAAGGCTAAAGATAAAGAGGTCTAAATATAAAACTAAAGAATAAGTCAGAAAAAGGTCAAATCTTAAAATTACTTATCTAGATCAATTGCTAGAAAGAATGCTTTTCTATTCTTCACAAAAATCCATTGCAAACTCACTTAACATCAGCAAAATCAATTTGTCCCTTTGATGGCCATCCACTTGGAACATCAGTTCCTCTAAAATAGATTTTAAAGTAAAATAAATACTTTATTCCTAGTTTTAAAGTACAATTGTACTTTTTCAACTTACTTCAGCGTATTCCATTCACCTTCTTTTGTGATATTTTGAGCATAATAGACAACTCGTTCAACTGATGTCATTTTAGCCTCCATCTCTGTTTGAGTTCTCACAGCGAATTGGAATATACCAGACATCTGAATATTTTGTCAATAAAGTCAAAGAAATCAGTCTAGAATTACGACCAATTTTTGCATTAATTGCAGAAATGCTTTCAATAACTTCACTTACTTGAATAGCAAAAGTGATGGCCATTCCAGCGTCTGCTGGAGAAACTTTTCCGGTAAGTAAAACAATGCACAAAGCAACAACGAAAGTGATTGCAACAACGAGAAGATCCAACCAAACAGCTAGCCATCTCATTGCTGATTGGAACATGAACATTGAACCGCTAAACATTGAGTTCTGTTGATAAAGAATCTGAGAAAGTATTGGGTTGGTGAAGTGAAAACTGCCGGACTTTGAACTAAAATTTATTCAACATAAAACCATCAATTCATTCCAAATAATTTCCATTATTATTGACGACTTCTGCTCATTTTACAGGCAATTTGCGGATTCCTCTTTCGTAGTAGGATTTTGGTTTTGAATCGAAAAACTTTCAAAGCCAATTTTTGACTGCTTCCTCCGAATCGAAGTGTTCTCCCGCAAGCTCATGTTCCAGAAAAAATAGTAATCAAAAGGGGAGAGGTCCGGGCTGTATGGGGAATGCGCCAAAAGTTCCCCAAACAAGGCTATTTATTTTAGAGCGAGTCAGTTTTGCAATATGAGGGCGCGCGTTGTCGTGGATGAGACCGATCTTTGACTTGAAGGGCCTATTCTTCTTCAGGCTCATTACTCATGATCCAGAACTTCCCAACTGTCCACTGTATTTGATTGCATTAACGGTCGTCTTGCTATCCAGCAACTCCCAGTACAAGTGTGTGAGACAAGTGTGAGACTCAAAAATCGAGGACTGGAGATGTCCCAATGTCCCAGTTTGAGCACTTTCTTCAAAAGAAACCCATTTTGGTGTCAATAGAAAAGTTGTAGAGAATCAAAAATTAGGCTTATAGCCAAATTTCCAAAAAGATACACTTAGTAGTTTCGCTTAAAATGCAAGTTTTGTGAAAGTTTCGTAAATTTGGCATTTCTTGAAAACCAGTTTTTGAATCGTTCTGAAAATTTGAATATAAGCTTGATTTTTGATTCTCTACAACATTTCCATTGACACCAAAATGGGTTTCTTTTGAAGAAAGTGCTCAAACTGTCACATATGACAATAGCCCGCAGTTTTCAATTCACCAACCCAATAGTTTGCTTGCTGGCTTTTTTATCATAAAAAATCAATCAGCTTTTTTAAGTTCTTACCTATTTGCATCTAATCTTTGCTTCAATGTCTCTAAAAAGCGATTTGTTTGACCATAACTGTGAATAACAGATATCCCCTCAATTGAAGCTGTGATATGATCGAATAATGGTGATCGAGAGATGTTCTCTGATCGTTTTAAACTGAATGAAATAGTTTTATGAACAAATTTCTTGTCTACCTTCGGATTCCAGCTCTAAAGCACATGACAAAGAGTAGAAAGATGCCAAAGAGTGGGACAGCGGCGAAGAGAAAATGTGGGAATACCCAAGCGATTACTAGGAGATAGCCGATACATGTGAACATGTTCTGCAAGAACACCTCGATTGAGAACGGCAGTTTCACATCAACTGTAAACCTTTCATTGAGCATAGATCTTGATTTTATACACTCACTTTCATCCATGTCTTTTGAGAATCGGTTGAGGATTCTTCCAGTTGGATTTTGATCGAAAAACAGCGCACAACCATGCATCAATGCTTAAATTTCAATAAATAATATCAAATCCTATTCTTCAATAAAATAGCCCTGAATTTCAGCTATTTTTTTGATATCTTAGCGCGCATTGTAGCATAAATCAGTGTCGAGAAAAACTCGTTCAAAGCTCGACTACGCAACGCTCCGCACCGTCATTGTGGGGCCGGGGTACTATTGCAGTATTGGTTATCTATTCTATGGTAATGGTTATCTATTCTATCAATTGAATTATTGAATCACATTGAATATTTATTGAATCAAAAATCTACCTTTAAACATATTGTTGTGAAGACGAGAAGCGGCGTTTAGAGAAACCTAAAATATTTTTTTTAAACAATTTCATTAGAGTTTCAAATTTTCTTAAACTTTTTATCATTACAAATCTTATAATTGATAGTTAAACATAGGATTTTTGGATTTAAAATAGAAATACACCTTTAAAACAAGCCGACTATTCTATAATGATATTGTTTTTGATGTTAACTTTTAATAATATTTGTTGATAAACAAAAATTCCCCAACCTTTACAAACATCCACGCTTTAAACAATCCTGAGACTGCGAGAATCACCAAAGAGATTGCGTAAACAGTTGCATAAAAGGAAGTGTCTGGCGAGTCAGCCATTGATGTATGACCCCGCAACACTTCAGTTCCATTCTCGTGCACAAGCTAAGAGCAAAATACAAGCTATCTCTTCATAAAATGAAACCAACTTCTTCTCCATGTCCTTTCTTCAACCATCTACTTAACCAATATGTAGCGAAAAGAGTTGCGACGACGTTGAGAATGAAAGAGAAGATAAGAACGGCCCAAACAAGGAAAGAACCAGCTGCTTTCACGTAGCCTCTAGAATATTGTTAGCTTAAACAGTTTCTTTAAACCAATTTCTTTAATCCTTACTTATAAATATTCCACGACATTGCGGCTAGCCCAAGATCCTCTTCGTCTTGAACAACCTTTGCTAAAATGAAAATAAATAAGTACAGTACTGGACAATGAAATATGATATTTGAAAAACGATCGTCACTTTCGCGCGTCTGTAACTCCCTTGTCTTTGCTGTATTTCTAAATATTAATATTACCATTGTGTAGCCCTTGAAAAGAGCTTTCGAAAAATGTATAACACTAATAGTTTAACTCAAAGACAAACTCAAAGACAAGGGAGTTACCGACGCGCGAAAGTGACGATCGTTTTTCAAATATGATATTTCATTGTCCAGTACTGTATTTCATTAACAAATTGGCCTTATTGACTTGACTATAACTACCGTAAATACTGTAATAGTACCCCCACCCCCTCGTAAAGTCGCGTAGTCGCAAAATTTTTTAGTATTTCATTTTTTGCAAAGCACCCGTACTTTCAAAAAATGCGTCTTTGGTATCAAAAAATAGCTGAAATTCAGGGCTATTTTTTGATAACTAAGTCCACTTTAGCTTGCATAAACCAGTGTCGAGAAAAACGCGTTCAAAGCTAGACCACGCAACGCTCCGCACCGTCATTATCTTTGGTATCAAAAAAACCGTCTTTGGTATCAAAAAATAGCCCTAAATTTCAGCTATTTTTTGATACCTAAGCGTGCATTGTAGCATAAACCAGTTTCGAGAAAAACTCGTTCAAAGCTAGACTACGCAACACTCCCCACCGTCATTATGGGGATGGGGTACTATTACAGTATTTACGATATATTTAAAAATACTAGAAAACAAACTTGAATCATGATCTTTGTGCACAACAGATCTCGATTGTGACCTCGTTGGAGATGTGGTTGAAGTTGATGACCCTCTCATGAATGATTAAAAGTCCCATCATCTTTCTCTTCCACATACTCATCGTGAGCTGACACCAATGGAGCTTAAAATCTTATAGTTTATAGTTAAACATACCATTTCTGGATTTAAAATAGAAATACACCTTTTAAAAAAAAGCCTACTATTCTATAATAAATAAGCTAAATAAGCTAAAATATCTTTGCAAACCGTTATGCTTTGAAATCTCGCAGAATTCCCGATATGCATCACATGCTTTTATCAGTATTTCATGCTTATCATCACCAACAATTTGCCCATTCTCCAAGAAAATCACTCGATCACATTTCTCTAATCTTTTTACATCTCTTGTCACCATAAGAATGGTTTTATTTTTAAGATATTCGAGAATAGCATGGTTGAAGATTCGATCAGCTACCTAAAATTGATTGTAAACTAAAATAGCAAAGATTTTTTTACAAATTTAGAATTGTAATGACTTGTTTTGAACATTAAATTGTAGTATTTATTGATTTGAATCAAATACTTAAACTTAAATGTCCAATAATACTTGACAACTACTTTAAGAAGAAACTTTAGATACCGTGTTCTCTCTAATAGTAATGCACCATGAGCGTCGCCTAAATTCCTCGAAATCTCGAGAACCGCTTATCAGAACCTATCGATGTGGGGTCGGAAAATGTAGCTGACGATGAGATCTACTGGGGGTTTAGAGTGTTGAGCTTCTGCAAA